CCAGGTGAAGGAGAATCCCATGCAAAAGTGATGAAGGAAGGAAAATATTTGAGAAATAGCCAGGAGGCTAGTGTGCATACAAAGTGAATCACACAGAAAATGATAAGAGAGAAAATCAGAGAAGGAGCAAAAGGGCATTTAATCTTGGGCTTTGTTGGGCCTTGCACCGATACTGGCTGTTGACCTGAGTAAGAGGGATAGCCATTGGAGGATTTGGAGCAAAGGAGCTGAGACTCCAGTGTGAACTGTTGGGTTCGTTTTTTCTAGAAGTCGAGGAATGAATTCAGGGACAAGGGAGCAGTAAGCAAAGGGAAGTGAAGTTTATTACAGTGAAAGTAACAAATTTCTTGGCACACCAGAGGGGTCCCAAAAAAGGTTGCTTCAGAAGGTCACTAATCTAGGGGTTTATATTTTTCTGCTCTTGCCCTCTATTGGCTCTTTATTACTCAATCTCTTTTTGCCCTCCTTTCCCTGCTTTAGTTCCCACTCTTGTGTTCAGGGGAGGGCAGCTCTACAGTAGTTGACTGGTACATTCTGCCTGTCTTGCTCACATTCTGACCACCTGGCTCATCTCCTCCTTTTTTTTATTTTTTTATTTTTTTAAATCTTTATTGTTCAAAGTACTAAATATGTCCCCCTTCTCCCCTTATTGACCTCTTCTAGCCACCGTCTCTACTCCAGACCTTAGCTATCATCTTCTCTTCCTGAAGCCCTTGTCCTAAACTGCCTAATCTCATCTAACTGCTCAGGGTGATAGGATCTGACTTAAATTTTCAAAGGATCGCTCTGGTTGCTGTGTTAAACTAAACCAAGAGGAAATAAGAGAAAGCAGGGAAGCTGATCAGCAGATTTGCAATAGTTTCATACAGCTTTTGAGCCAGCTATGTGTGCTCTTGTTGGAAGAGAGCCTGCCCACATTTCCCCTATTTGCCAATCAACTTATATTTCATTTGGGAAATTAAAATATTGATGAACTCTCCAAGACTTGAAATTTCTTTCAACTATTGGCAGAAGGTTAACAACGCAGATGCTTTTCTGGCTTTAGGTCAGCTGTGTTTACTCCACATCAATGATCTTTGGAAACTTTATCCAAATTACTGTTGAAATTGTTTATTTCAGAACTAGGGCGACCAGATCAGCCCTCCATCTCTGGAGCGTGAGCAGCTTTGTTTTTCAGAGGCAGTGGCTAAAACAGATCAGACATTTCCATCAGCTGTTTGGTCATTGTGCTTTTTAGTGGAATTATAGCATGTTACAGTATTTTTCTTTGCAGGCTTAAACATTGAGCAAACCCAGACATCCGGAGATGCTAAAATGAAAAATCTGTTTCCTTTTGCCTCGCCATTTGCCAAGCAAACTCCGTCAGACAGCACATTCTATACATTTCAAGAAAATGACATTACCCCTTAATGTGTTGGCAACATCTGTCGCAAAACACTCTTCAGTCTATGGCTTAACTGCACCGGGTAGAAATTGATTTGGCAGTATATTTCATGAGACAGAATTATAGGTGAGGGCACTAGTTTGGCCTTAACAACCATAGGTTTTATTTTTTTTTCCTTTTTTGTTATTTTTCTTTTTCTATTGTGTTCTTTCTTTTCTCTCTTCTTGGTAAATGTCATGTACAATACAAAGGACATTCTTTGATGAGGAAAGTGACTAGTAGACACCATTCTTGGTTGTAAATAGCCAGCACTTCAAATTCTTGAAGTTTCCTTCCCTGATAAAGTATCACCAAGAAAATGTATTTCATGCTGAAACTGGCTTGGCTCAGTGGTAGAGCGTCGGTTTGTGGACTGAAAGGTCCCAGGTTTGATTCCAGTCAAGGGCATGTGCATTGGTTGCGGGCACATCCCCAGTAGAGGGTGTGCAAGAGGCAGCTGGTCGATGTTTCTCTCTCATCGACGTTTCTATCTCTCTATCTCTCTCCCTTCCTCTCTGTAAAAAAAATCAATAAAATATATTTTTTTTAAAAAAGAAAAAAAAAATGTGTTTCTCCAAGAGGTTCCTGCCTACTATTTCCACCTTACTCTGATTGTAAAGTTATTCCATCCCTTAAGACAGTTATGACATTACTGTTCTTAATAATTTGTGGGAATCCTCTTTTCATGGAACATCTTTGCTGAATACGAGTAAAAAATGTATGTTCTTACCAGTCCTCCCCCAAGAATTACTATTTTCTGATTCATTTATTTGTGATGGCTGGTCTGGGTAGGAAAAGGATGTTTCCCTTACATTGTTTTTACACTCCTTGCCTAGTGCTGCTAGTTACAATTCCAAAGGATGACAAGTCCCTTCCCACTCTTTCCTTTGATTGTCAGGTGTTTGGTTTATACACAGAAGCAGTGCTTGCTCTGTGGCATCTGTAATCAAATGAGTCCCCAAACACTTTCTGAGAAAGGATGTTTTAAAGAGACCAGACAATCCTTCCTAAATTAGTTCATAATTCAGGCGTTCAATCCTTCTATCCTTATCATGCATGGATTTTGATTCATCTGTCACATACTCACATATCTCATTTGCATATTGCCTTCCAAACAAAGACTCAAGTCTGCCTCTCTGCCACACTGGGGAATGAGGTCACCCCCTAGGGTGCTGCAAAGAAATTCTTCTACCAAACACAATTTGGTCTTTATCTCTGATTTACGACAAACAATCTTTATGTGACTCATGTAGGCTGAGGGGTTTCCAAGACTGTGACAGTTTAGCTGTGTGATAGAATCTCTAGGGGCAAATATCCTGAAGAGATAGACTAAATCTCAAGTTCAAGAAGAGTATTGAAGTCTTGCACCTGCTAAGGATTAAAATATAGTGCAAGTGCCACTTTGGGCTTGAAAAAAAAAAAGCTTTAGAACTTGTCGTAACTCTGAGGTTATTCTATATAGTTTTTCTTTAAGTGACTTAAAAAATTTTATTCATCTTAAATGAAGGCCAGTAAGTGATTTTTGTTTTTAATATCAAGTAAAAATGGTTTTGTTAAAGCGATTCAGACAGCAGGAAAAAACTGTGATGTGTCTCTGAATTACAAGTAAAAGTTTTATCATGTTTCTCACTCAAGAAGCATCTTGATGAACAATTCATAGAAGCATCACAAAATTCAAACAACACAAATCCACAACTGTGTATATCTCCAAGCTAAAGACTTTTAAAATAACATATATTTTCTGATTGAACCTTGCTCAAAAGCCTTTTGGAGCAAAGTTGAATCTGTATAGTATTTCCAAATATTTGGCTCAATTGCTATTCTTCCTCCATATTAATGGAAAGGGGTTCACAAAAAAAGGTTGAGTGATAGCCTTTTTTTTTTTTTTTATTGATTTTGTACAGAGAGGAATAGAGAGAGGTAGAAAGTTAGAAACACCAATGAGAGAGAGTCATCGATCAGCTGCCTCTTGCACACCCCCCACCGGGGATATGCCCGCAACCAAGGTACATGCCCTTGACCAGAATCGAACCCGGGACCCTTCAGTCCCCAAGCTGACGCTCTATCCATTGAGCCAAACCGGTCTCGGCGATAGCCTGATCTTTTAACACCTACAGTTGCGAAGTTGGATTTGGATAGTAACATAAGGAATTCATCATCCTGAGCAAAAGCGTTTTAGAAAACATTTGCCTGTGGGTAATCAATTTGGGGTCTGAGAGCTTGTCAACTGCGTGGATCTCTCCTAGTTTTATTTCTTCAAAATATTTACTTACAAATATGGAGAAGAAGCCACGCCATGAAAAAATAATGTTAATAGGAAAAAATAGCATTCAGATACCTATCATGTTATTACCATGGGATGTTTAAATGAGCTGTTATAAGCATGAGCTTCTTCTGCCTTTATAATCATCTTTAAAATAAAACAGTGGGATCATATAATATCAAAGACTCCATCAAACCCTAGATTTTCAATTTTTTAAAAATATTTTCCATTGTCTACGTTAGTCAATTAAGGCATACAAGTAGAATAGAGGAAAAGGAAAGAGAGTATGTGGTCTGGCTCTGTGCTTCAATAGCCATGCGACACTTTGTATATGGACAGAAGTTTTTTGTTTTTTGTTTTTAATATCTATTTTTTACATTCCAATAGTTATAATAAATCAAAAAGCATATTCTAAAAGTAGGCTTTTCCTACCACCTGATGAAACAATTGACATTTTTAAATTTTTAGAAAATTATAGCAGTGTTGCATTTGACTGGCATTTAACAGTTTAGTATCTTCTGTCAAAAGCATAGACACAAATAAAAGTAGGTCAAAATATTCAAATTTTAAAACATGAGAAATAGTAACTTGGATTTTTATAACATTTATATTAGATTTTAGTATGTCCAATGAGATCCAGTGAAGGAACCCATCTGGACCAGTGTTATCACCACAGTGGTAGATTGTACTGAGGTGATCAAAATCTGTCCATAGAAATCATAGATAAATGTTGTAAACCAAAAGTCTTATTCAGTATCAATAAAATCTAGAGAATTTCTATCATATCTGTATATTTTTAATTAAGAAAGTTAGTATTTAGAACAATGAGAGACGGCATATATATGATATCTTGGAATACATTCTACATTAAATATTAAAATTATAAATAACGGGCATTTTAAATACATCACAGATAAATCACAATGGAGGAAAGGAAGTCACCAATGCTATCTATTTAGATCACATGTGTCAAACACAAGGCCCGCGGGCCAAATCCGTCCCACCAGGCCTTGCAATGTGGCCCGCACCGCGCTGTCATCACTGCACTCCGCTGCGTTTCCATCACAATGACAGTTTATGACTGTTCAGTAAACCATTCGGCCCGCGATTTAGGCTGGATTTTAGATTTTGGCCCCTTCTCTGATTGAGTTCGACACCCCTAATTTAGATGAACAGAAAATGTCATGATGCATTTAGCCTTTTCAGTAAAGTAAGCATGTTGGATGTTAAAGCAGTCTATTATGATTATGTTTAAGTTTTAAGTTTCCTTCCTGTGGAACGTATTTTCAGATAGACAATTGTGTGTGCTTCTAGGGTGCTGTGATTACGCCGACAATGGACCATCCAATGTCAATGCAGCCAGCAAACATGATGGGCCCCCTGACACAACAGATGAACCATCTTTCATTGGGCACAACAGGAACGGTGAGTTGAAGATTTTGTTTTGCTGTTTTCTTGGATTTCTTTGACAAGATGAAATACTCTCTTTTCACTGGCATTGTCAGCAAAACTGGCTTTATACTACTGACTAATACACCATTCAGTTCCAGTATGAGCAAGCTGCCTTCTGCCTGCTTATTCCATTCTGGGACATGTTTACTCATATTGACAGAGTTGAAGGCTGTATTGTGTTGCATTTAAATTTGAGTTACTTCCTGTTCTTGAGACAAAATGCACCAAGTATAAAGTCTGATTTTGGAAAAGTGTCTCTATACATGTACATGTGAATCTAGGCCTTGTAACTTAATACACTTGAGCCTGTTTTTCCTTTCCCAGATGCTTACCACTTCAGCTAATATATCATTCCCAGGTTACAGTGAAGGACCAACCTTGACTATGACTAATATGCAGGGTTTTTTATTCAGTTTCCATGTTTAAGTCAGTAAAAAGTAATTGAGAACCTGACATAATCGAGTTCTTTTCATCTTTTTTTTTTTTTTTTTTTTTTTTTTTTTTTTTACTATATTGACATAAATGATGTTGAAAAATGAGAAAGGACTCTAATGTACTTAATCTTATTTTTTACAAGTTGGAATATTTTCGACTAGCCATTATTTTTCCTTGGGGAGCAAAAGTACATCAAACATTTCCCATTGCAGCCTTGATTTTATATCAGGGAGGCCTTTGAAATCATTTGCAATACTTTGTGTTAGTTTTTAAATCCATACAAAGGCAATTCCCCAAATAGTCAGGAAGGCAAATGTTTTAATACAACCTGGAGTACTGCAACTTTGTTAATTATCATTATAGAGAACAGTGGAAGACATCAAAGCCAACCTTTCATGTGACACCATTGCTAAGAATTTTTCATTTTTCATTTTTAATGATGTAAGCAGAAAATATATATTTTCCTTTTACAGGAGCAGGTTAAGTATTATAGAAAGAACACTGGACTTGAAGTTAGGAATTCTAGCCTCAAATCTTGATTGAGCCCTATTGTTTCTATCTGTCCAGTCTCAATTTCTCACTCTGTCTAGTTGAAGTAGTGAACATGATATATGGGGCTCCTTTGACTACTTGCCTTTGTGTCTTTAAAGCTATATATCTCATAGTCACCACTTCTGTGATTCTTCACAATTATGCTAGCATCATCTCCAAATATCTTCATATGGTTTGCTTGACATATAGGCTTTTTGGAAATATAAGATGTTTCTGACATGTCCACTGAGGCCTCAATAATCTGCTCTAAATAGGAAGCAAGTCCATATAGCTAATGGAAAAAGTGGCTTTGTTTCAATAAAGAAGTTTAATTTTATTAACATAAACAAAGTACCTATCTCTAAGACTTCAGTTTCTGATTCTATAAATAGCAGTTGATGATACTTTACCTGTCTCAAGGCTGGACTGGGTCAAATGATTTTTTTAGGTCTCTGACCTAGACTTTTAAAAGTCATGTCTCAGGTGATATTTAACTCTACACTGTGGCACAGCTAATTTTCATCAGAGAGATAAAATTCGAAGGTAATATTTCTGGAGCTTTTAGTACTGTGTTGAGGATTATTTGTCATTGCTTTGCTCATTTACCAGCAAAACAGACTCCATGAAGTGTTGGGAGTTTCTCATGTGCCCGCTATTGATTTCCCTTCATGTCAGCCTTAATCTCCTTGAGGGATCATAAATTCTCAATAAGTGAAGTATTGCAATCTTATTATATTGAATAACAATCTGGAATCTGATAAAAGAGAGAGTTATAATGCAAAGCCCAGCAAGAAACACTTTATAAATCCTAGTCATTTGAATCAAAAGCAAAGCCAGCTGACTTCCTGAAGTTTAAATTTGCAAACTAGAAAAAAAAAAAAAAACACATAAGAGCTAAGTTTAATTGAGATTATGACTGGATACTTTTGGGAATTGAAAAATAAACTAAAACATAAAGAACAAGTTTAGGATTATAGTAGTTACTAATTCTATAACATATTTTATGATTAGTATTGGAGCATTTTCAACAAGAACACACTTACATATAAGATCACTATTTTTACCTAGCTGGAAATGGGCACATTATTTAAGAATGATATACAGTGGTGCCTCGCATAAAGAACGCCTCGCACATCGAACGCTGCACACAACGAACTTCATTTCATGATTCATACAACGAACTTCGTTTCACACAACGAAGTCGCCCGAGCTTCCACGACCGCTTTGCCCGAGCTTCCACGATCGCTGCCGATGTATTGCATCCTTCTGCGCAGGCACTGCAGGCAGTCGTTAGTCACTGCGCTTAACTTAAGCACGTATCGCGGCAATCGTTCTTCATTACGAATTAAATCACGCACGTATCACGGCAGTCGTCCTTTTAAGTTAAACTCAATATTTTTTTTATATCATGATGTATCTAAATAAAAATAATAACAAAAAAATTATCTTTTTTTATGTCATCTTAGCATATTTTATGCTACAGAACGAATTATTTTTTTTAACATGTATTGTTATGGGAAAACGCGTTTCACATAACGAACTTTTCGCATAACAAACTTGCTCCTGGAACGAATTAAGTTCGTTGTGTGAGGCACCACTGTACATCCCATCCCTTTCTCAGCAAAAGTTTGAAATATGAAGTTTATTTTTAATACCAAATATTTTGTAGCTTCCCCCCTCCATTTTTTCTCCCTTCACATTTGTACTAAAAAAAATGCTTATGAATATTATAAACTTTGTATAAATTGATGTTTTGCAAAGGTTTGAAATTTAATAAGGAAAAGCAAAAAAAAAAATAGTAATTTGTTGATTTATTCAACAAAATATCACTGTATTTGGTGTCCAGAATACTGGTATACATATTTCTTGAACTGTCACTCTTGTACTTCAACATGCCATCATAGATTCATTTCACATGAATTTTTGATTGGCATGTGGCGTGACTATCAGATTTTCCCACCTATTACTTTTTTTCAATGTATTTTATTATTGCTGGGAAGATTGCCTGTTGTCACGGGGGGAAAAAGTAGATGTTGGGATCCAACTTGAGTTCATAGTTCAGCTCAGCCCCTTATTAGCTATGCACCTTTAGGTAGGTTATTAACCTCTCTGAACTTTTATTTCCTCCTCTACAAAGTAGAAAAATAATATTTACATCCCCGGTGAGTTGCCAGCATTAAATGCAATGATATATGAGACATTTCTAATACAGTGTGAAATCTAGCAGATAGATGCTTATCAAACAAGTTGTCCTTAACCCCACTACATTCAAGTGGCTTCAACTGGCGGGAAATCAAGTCCAAGTCATCAGAAGGGATGTAGGAAATTAACAAGTTCACAGCACAACACACCAGCCTACTCTGTTTCGTTTGGCATAACGTATTTCTCTCTCACGTTTCCACTTCCTTAGCGTCTAGCATACTCTTCCAAGGTTGTAAACCCCAAAATTCTAGAGGCCAGCCAAGTCACATTAATGAATCAAGTTGGCTGATGGAAGCAAAAAAAAAAAAAAAAACCCCTAGAAGTACAGAATCAAATTTGGTCTACATTTACCGCTCATGTACTATAAATATACTTGACAGCAGAGGTCACATTTTAAGTTAGAGATGTTTTTAATGCAATCCTAATACTTTCTTTGCCTGAGAGGTAAGTGAAGAGTAGTGGGAGATGCCTCCCTTGGCAGCCTGGAACGTGATGTTGCCTCTAAAGAAGGCAGCCTCTACTCAACTCCAGGTCATTATTGCTTCAGAGGCATATAGACCGAGGGTGGTCTCACCTTCCAATTTTGTAAGGTAAAATAAATATTTAAATCTTAATGGAACATTTCCCTGTATTTGAATACTGAACCCAGTTTGCTTGAAAAGCTGTCAGATTGTGTGACTCCTGCCCAGGGATTTCTGAGGTCTCCTCTGACTCTTCTGGCCATTGCTGCTTCTGTTCTTTCACAGGCCGTTCAGACATGGTTTCATTTTTTAACTTCGTATTAATACATGAGTTTCCCCTTAAGCCATGCCATCTACTTTCATGGTTTTGAACTCCGCTTGATAAGCCGAAGACTCTTAAATCTGAGTCCTCAGTGCTAACCTCATCTTTTCATTTCTAGACCCATTTTTTTCCAACTGTTTGCTAACTATCTCATGTAAATCTCCCTCCAACATCTCAAAGTCAGCATGATCCAAACTAATCGCATTAGCTTCCCCAGGCTTCCTCCCCACTAATGCCCTTTCGCTTCCACATTCGTGCTTTGTATTTCCTCTCAAGCCATACCCATGCCCTTTTGCTCTTGTAGTCAAATGCTAATCCTAGGACTTGGCCTATACTCTTTCCTTCTCCCTCACCACCACATACAATTACTTTTCAAGTCCCATCAATTTAGGCTCATAGACATTTGTCAAATACATCCCTTCTACCACACTTCTAGACTCTGCCCTGGGTCTCATTTGATTACTTATAATAGTCTCCTAACTGCTCTTCCTGCTTCCTGTCTCAGTGGGCTCCAATCCATTCTCCAGCATGTTGCCACAGCCAGTCAATCTAAAATTATCTGATCATGTGTCTCTCTTACCAGTAACTTTTCAGAGGCTTTCAGACATCTAAGCTCACTGCAATTCTACAAACAAGATGTGAGCAGTGACGAGTCAAGATAAAGACAGGAACCTCAATCCAGAAACAGACAGGCTCCAGGGGAAGAGCAAGGAGAGACCAGTGAATGATCTACAGTAGACAGTGGTCCAGAGCTAATGGGAATTTGGAGCTAGATTGGAAGTTTCCAGTATTAGAAGAGGGTAGGGGGAGGGGGACCGTAGGCCATAGGCCACATCCCACTTTCCTTCCCAAGATCCCTGGGTAAGGAAGTTTATTGAGATGCCTCTTTTTCATCTTCATAAAAGTAGGCATATTTGGTACCTTGTAACCTCCAATTTTGAGGTGGAAGCCAGGTAGTTTAACTTTTCTCTACCATTTGCCACCTCAAATGTTTATTGTTCAATTCTCTACATATTTTTTAAGCTAGACAGAATCTCCCAGACTTAAAGGAAATAGCTGTTTTATTCCAGGGCTGTGCTGACCTTGGAGAATTTTGTAGCTTTACCACCTTTTTTTTTTGTCATAGGAATCCTTGCATAGAACCAAAGCCCTGTTAACCACCATTTCTTATCACTGTATTGTAAGCATTAGCCGAAATCACTGGGGGTTTTACTGTGTTATGAGAACCTCCAAATTGCATGGCAATCTTGTTTTACAAGTTTCTTATCTCCTTTTCATTTGTTCAGTTGGTGGTCACCAGTGGCTTACAATGTCACCAGAATCTGTTGAAAGAAATAAGAGTTTTTGTTCTGCAGGCTCCTTATCTGCAGTTCTGTTTGTGTCCTCCAAACCACTGGTGGTTTGTGACATCACTGAATTCCATGGTGTAACCATAGCCACTCACAAAGATAATATTGTAATTCTACTCCATTTGTGCATGTAGTTCTCCAACATTTTTTCAGTCATACCATTTTTTCCTTTAATATTCTAAAATGTTGAAGGTATCAGGTGAAATTCCTGAATTACTAATTTTGCTCAGAATTACCATTTTTAATTATTACATATCAGTATCAGGACTAAGAGTAATAAAGAACAACACATCGTGCTAAATGGGCTCATGACTAGAAAATAATATCGTAAGTTCACAAATGGCAATGAGTATATCTCCATAAATGGTTTTTGAGGGAAAAGTGTCAGTTAATTAAAAATGGTCAAATTCAAGACTGAAAATATAGATAAAAGGGAATCATTTTTTTTTTAATTTGTTTAGTCTTATTCTAAGATAAATGAACTTTGAAGGTAGTCTATAAACAAAAAGTAAATAGGCATTAAGTGAAAGTCTAGTATTATGAAAGTTTAATTGCAAATATTAAGCTTTTGCTGCTTAAAAAGGTATTCTGACTTCAAATTAATTAACAACAAAATACAAGAGCCGAATAGTTAAAAACAATGTGAATGTATAGTTGGTAAAAGAGGAAATAGAATGCCAAAAAACATAAAAAAATAATAGATAGTAATTTAATCAAATACACACAGAGACATACACACATAACCCATTAAATAAAGTTATAAAATGCATTGCTGATGAAGGTGTGAGGAATAAACATTCTCATTATGTGATGACAGGGATCTAAATTTATAAAAGTCCCAGTTGGATAGCAAGGTGGACAGTCAAGACATTTTAAAACAGTTCTGATGATTGACCAATAAGTTTTAATTTTAGAAGCAATTTTATGGAAATATTCTAAAGTAACAGTAAAGCCTCTTTATACCTCAGTAGTGTTCAGGTTTGTTATACTGTTTAATGAAGAAGAATGATTAAGCCATAAGCCACCCACAGATGAGAATGTAATATTACATGGAAATATAAGAAATTTAACTAAGTAGGAAAAGGATGAGCTATCATTATGAGCAGGATGTAAATGTGCACATGTAGCAAACATGAAAAAATATTTATGAAATAAGGCTATAGAAATACAAAACAAGTGTGGTTATTTCTGGGTGAGGGGATTAGGGATCATTCCTATTTTAATCATATTTGTATACATTCTGCAAGTTTACAACAATAACATTTACTTTTATTATTTATTTTTAATATAAATGTATTTGTGGAAAAATGACTAGTGGCATGATCGTAAAATTAACTTTTTGTTTGTTTGTAGTAATGTGTGATTGCAGTTTTTAAAAAGGAACTAGGAATTGCTACCACTATTTAAGAACATATTTGAAGATCCTATAAAAATGTTTCTACTTATTCCAGCTTTGGTGATGATAATCAACTCACTAGTTCACATACCTGTTGCGAGAAGCAAAATGACTCATGCCTAAGGTGTTTATTTGCCTTTGAACCTTTGGTCAATATTTTTAATCTGTCTTCTCATGAGAAAGTGATTAACATTGTCCTTTTGTGGCAAGGAGATTAAATGGAGAAATGTCTGATAGTCCAAATGAAGTTTTTAAGTCAATGGGGGAAAAAGGAAAGTTTGAGATTTTAGTTTTTAAACAAAATAATGATCATATAACAGGAATAAGGGTCTCACAGAACATCTATGTAACTGTGTTTTGGCAGTTTATTTGAATGTGAGCAGTATTTGGTCTTTTTACACAGTCTACCCCTCCAAGGAAAATTGGACCTTTCTATTTTTAAAGGGGGGAGGGGATGGAGGAGCCTTGGGCCATAGACCAGGTCCAACTTTTCCTTTTCAGATCTCTGGCTAAGGAAATTTACTAAACCAAAGCCTTTTTCTCATTATGTATATATATATATTTAATCCCATATAACCTCAAATTTTGAAATGGATGCCATGTAGTTTAGTCTTTCCCTAATATTTGCTACCTCCAATGTTACAACACTTAGGAAAAAGACAGCAATCATCGTTGAATAGATTCTTCTACTTGTCCCTGCTCTCACTGCTCCAGCAGGCAAAGCTCCTTGGTCTTGACTGGCAACCACTGGGATCAGAGTCAGAGCTGAGTGATCAAAATGTGTCAGCCCCATAGAGTATGAGAAAGTGCACATTTTTTTTATTGGTCTCTGAAATTTTCCATTTTTTTTTTTTCCCCCTCCAGGACTTTGTTTCATATTGTGCTCTGGGCCCCTTCTAGATGGGCTGCCTTGAGGAACTTTTGGGTCAGTCAGAGAGGGTACAGATTTCACCTTGATACCCATAGTAGTGACCGAAGTAATGGGTAGACTGAAGAAGATGACTGTGTATTGGGACAGAATGTACTGTCCTAGCAGGTGGAGCCTAACAAACACCATGTACAGTGTGATGGTTATGGGGACTATTGTAACAACTGCAAACTAGATAGGGGTCATAGTACCTGAAGAACTTGGAGGTAGGGGGGTTAGGCAACCACATGACATAGAGTGAGTGGGGCACTTCCGAGATGTAGAGCTAAGATTCTGTTTTATTTTCTTTTGTACTTCATTGCATTCTTTCTCATGCTCTTTTCATTCAAAGATTCAGTCCCAAGACAGGATTATGATACTCCACCAGCTGTTGTGTCAGGTAGGAAAATTCTAATTCCTTTCAGACTTGATTGGTGGGGAGAGATGGAAGTTGCCTGGTTTTCTCCGAAACTCTTTAAAGCAGTGATTCTCAATGGGGCTGGGTGCGAGGAACTTAAATTTCAGTTTGGGAATGGGTGGTTGAGTGTGGGCAAGGGAATGGGCAGAGCATGGTTCAAAAATGTATTTAATAATTCAGTCCAGTTTTGTGTATGATAAATAAATATGTTGTTTCTATAATAAAAAGTAAAAGCTCAAAGACATTTGATCTATGAAGGATACACAGAACATAGAGTCTATGTTCTGTGTATCAGAGGCTCTTAGTTGGGAGAGGATATTTATGTTTATCAGAGGAGGGCACAAATTAATAGAATGTAGTTTGAGAAGCACTGCTTTGGAGACCAGAATTCTTCTGAAATCAAAAAATCATCCCATTTTGCTTGCTCAACACCCAGCGTAGTGTCTCTCACCCATAGTAGGTGCTCAATATAATTGTTTGTTGAATGAATCAAAACTTCAGATTTGTTCCAAAAATGATATTTTGGATATTGAAAGAGAAGCTGCCAATGTTCTACTTGTACAGCAAAATGTCAGAGAGTGATCTGAGAATCCTTTAGGATCTTGAGGATTTTTATTAGCAACATTTAAGTTGTTTCATAAACTTTGGTGGTGCAGTTTATAATAGGGTATGCGTGTGTGAAAAGGTGGGTTTTTATTTTGAATTTTGCCTTAACTTTGAATTTTGGTTTCATGGAAAGAGGATAATGGGCATAATTTTTCGCTTTTGTTGATCTGTTTTTAAATAAAATACTGGCAGCCTAAAGAGCTGTGAACCCTTTAATCCTTTCACGTGTTAGATGATGAGGATATACAATCTAAAGCAAGCAATGAAGGCCAGGAGAGCCCATCAGTCGGTAGAGCCTGGCCACTGAGTGGTAGTTTTCAGACAGAGAGCAGCATGCTCTTAGCCACTGGGTTTACCTGACCTAGCATCTAAAGGGCAATCCTTTCCTCATGTCTGATGGACTTGTATAATGGTGCTCATGGCTGAATATTCATCTTATTAGTTCAATTGAGAAACAATGAGTTAGCTTTCAGTTATAAAGTCACTTTTTTTAAAAATCTTCACCCAAGGAGTGAGGCTATTTTTTCCATTGATCTTTGACAGAGAGAAACATTGATGTGAGAGATACACATCAATTGGTTGCCTCCCATACTTGCCCTGACTGGTGGGGGAGAGAGGGGCGGGTACTGAACCTGCTACCCATGTATATGCTCTGGACCAGGAATTAATGGTGCACAGATTGGCACTCTAACCACTGACCCACACCAGCCAGGACCACTTTGCTTTTTTTGGAGAGCTCTATAAATTGTCATTAATTAAACATCGCTTATCTTTCTCCAAAGTGTGTATCCTATCATAGCATAATGTGTTTCATTTGGCATACTTTGTTTAATGTAATGTAGCCTTTACTTGGTTTAATATATGGCATCTTTGTTTAACAAGAGGCATCTATTCTTGAAAATTCACCAATATTAATAAGGAGGAAAGACAGAAACTGAAACTTTCCTTCTACTAGGTTTTCTGATTCCACTTTTAAGAACACACACACAGACATACAAAAGCAATGAAAACATCAAAAGCACTTACTAGATATTAACCATGGGTCTGAATCAGTGCATATGAATTAAAGCAGAACATCTGGCTTGAAGTTCCCACCTAATTCCACAGACAGCTGCCACAGAAAGTCCTTGAGCTGAGAAATGACTCAATTAAAGTACAGCCTTAAGAAATGTAATCTGGCATTTTTGTGTGTGCTTAAGCAACAAGAAGCAGTAATCACATAGAACAGTTAGAAAGCCCTGGTATTGATATCATTAATATTTTTTTAAGTGCTAAGATCCCATCAGTGGAATACAAAAGGAGGCACTAATATAGAAGAGATAGGAACAAGAACAATTTACAGGACTTCATAGTTGTTTTCCCCTGATAAGATTTAATTGGTGGTTTGACATCTGATAAATTTGCACAGAGCTTTTTGGTCTCTCTGGTCTATCTATAAAGGAAAATAAGCTTACTTTTAAAAATGTTTATAAATTATCTGGTGGGCACAACTTGAGTAACTTTTGAAAAATGGGATATTCTTTGCCCAACCCTGGGGAAAATCAGGAAAGTGAATCAGGCAAAAGTGTAATAATATTTCCTTCTCATATCTTTCAGTATGTCAATATTGGACAATCAAATAGTAATCAATTCTTTGTCAGTGTAATAACTAAATGGATATCAAAATAGAAGGAGAGAGAAGAGTTACGTTCCTATCACTTCAATGGCTTGATATGTCATTTTCAAGAATCTAATCCAGAGGAAAGGCATGTTTCTCCATCCCCCATAAGCAGGTTATCCTCTAAATTCTAAGGGATCCCATAAGACTTGCAACCAGGGAAGCAGTGGGCAGTGGCATCTCATCATGAGCTAATCCCCTGAACATGTCTCCAAGACACCCTTACATTAATTAATTAATTAATTAACAATTAATACACCAGAGGGAAACGGCCAAGTTCAGTATTGTTGAGTTAGAAGTATCTATGAGGCATCCAAATGGAGATAACACATATTTGGATGTGTGTGTGTCTGGAGGTCAGAAGTTAGCTCTTAGCTTCAGGTAGATATTGGAGTTATTACCTTGAAATTAAGTCATGTCACCCAAGGAATGTGCTTAGAACAAAGACAAGTAGGCGGATCCTTGAAACAAAAATGGCCACCCCCCAAAAAAATAAATTTAAGAACAAGGAGCCTAAAATAAAGACTGGAAAAGATAACAATAGGCATAGCAGGAAAACCAAGTATATGTTGTTTCAAAAGAAGCCAAAGAGAGAGAGTATTTCAAGAGAAGTCCATATAGTAAAATGAGTCCTGAAAAGAAGCCATTGGATTTAGTTATAGAAAGGTCACTAGTCAATCTGGTGGTGCAGTTTTAAGGGGAAGAATGAAGACAGTGAATGTGCAGTAAGGAAGTGGATGTAACAAATGCTAGAAACATAACAATTTTGGCTTTCAAGAAGAGTAGATAAAAACAAATGGGCAATGGAAGTGATTGATTTACTACTTTTTAAGATGGGAAATATTTGGTCATAATAGGAAGAAGCCAGGAAAGAGTTCTCAAATATCAAGATGTAATTCATGGAGAGGTGACTCATAGAGCAAGGTCACTGAGGAAGCCAGATACTTCTAGGAATGTGGGAGAGCAAAAGAAGGGGTTGGAAGTTTGTAAATGTAGGAATAAGAAATCAAAGAATTTCCTAAATGATAAATACTATTTTTTATGAGACATATTAAGTGACATCTGAGAATGAATGGGAGATGTCATGGAGAACAGAATTTGGGGAAACTATGGAGTAAGAAAGCCAACTGGCAATACATAGAAAGTTTGAAAGGCAGTACTGGGGGTCCATTTGACGCTACAGATTACAAATTTTTGTGATACCCATCTATGAAGATGTTTAATTTTCCACAGTAGTGATCAGTATCCAGAAAGGCATTCAGGTGGATTAATCCTCAGCTAAGGTTGTACTGAGTAGAGTGAGAAAAAGGGCAATGTGTGATGACAGTATTGTCAAAAGAGTGATTGAGTGACACATTCAATCAATACTATACTTTCCATGATGAACAGAATGAGAAAAGAGGGCAATAGGCAAGGGAGCTGGGGAGAAAGTGGAAAGATCGAGAAGAAGTATGAATGAAATGTATAAAGTGTTCTGGAGAAAATACTAAGATTTTGGATAATAAACTATTTCTTGGCAAAGTCAAGGTCATGGGAGCAGGAGGCCAAAGTGGACTGGAGGTGAAGGTGACAAAGATTAAAGAAATTAAGCTGCTATTGAAATGGGGTATTTTTGTGTCTGGAATTGTCTTATTATTTGTTTTTTTGCATTAATAAGATATGTGCTAATTATCAGGGAGAATGTCCCCAATATAGGGGATTGCTAGCAGCATACTTCCAAAACATGTTACAAAACATAGGAAGAATTTTTAAGAACAAAGTTCTTTCCAGAACACTTGGAATATAGATTTAATTGAAGGCAGAAAAGTCTTTCAGATCAGTGTTTTCCATAGTGAGATTTGTGTATCACTTTGATACTTAAAGTTAATTTATGAGTACAGGGACCCAAAATTTTTATTTGTATTTCAGCAGCTATATAGTTATTTTTATGTAAATTTGAATAACAGAATAAGTTCACCAAAAGCATAGCTTAAGGAATACTTTGCTTAGGAAAAGTCCAAGAGAACTAGTTAAACAGTAAATACATTTAAAAAAAAAAAAAACTAATTCAAATAGGTTATAGAGAAAAGGCCATAGTGGCGATGTCCTAAAGAAAATGCTTAAAGTTTGAGAAATAGGAGTCTGATTTATTTCACTGGCGTTACCTTTCCAGCTCATTTTAAGAATGCAGGACAGAGGTTGGAACTATCTATGTTTTCATGCAAAATCAAGAGACTGTTCTCTTTTTGTTTTTTTCTTTTCCACAACAGTTACAACTCTTTAAAAGATCTTTCTATTTTAAGCAACTTTTTAAAAAATCTTGAAGTCATCATTTTTTCCTTCTTCCTAGTTGGATTTGATGTGGCACATATGAAAACTAAAAAATAATATGTTGTCAAAATTGTATCTCAATTGCTTTAAGCTTAATTCCCTTGAAGGTTGTCATCCTGAAATCAAGCAAAAACTATTGACAGAGAACTAAAGTAGAACCAAAATTTGTCCACCTTTTCTAAAAACCTTAGAGTTCAAAATTTGGATCTGTTTTTGGAAAAGACAAGAAATGAGAAAAGTGCCCCCAAAGTGCTTTAGAAGAATCCAGCAAACATCTGGAACATATATTTATTCTCTGGATTATCCTTCGTGCACACCAGCTAAAAATAGGTTGAAAATATTCAATGTTATCAATACAACTTCATAGCAATATTTCACAGAAAAGGCATACTTAAGTCATGATACAGAT